GTGTGTGTGTGTGTGTGTGTGTGTGCGTGTGTGTGACTCCAGTGGGCAGAGAGATAGCACAGACTCACCTGTGTGCCATATATAGTTGAATAAAACGTAGGTGCTCGCCACAAAAAACAGCCAGTGCAAAGGAACAAAAATTAAACAAAAGATGTCCAGTGTGAAGGCGGCACAAACAAAAACAACACAAATAACCTGAAAACAAACAAGGTGAGTTTAGTTCGCTGCAGAAAAAAATGTTTTGTTTTGTTTTTTTTAATACAGAAGAATAGCCATGGTGTCTTGCTATAGCTGCATTCAGTATTGGGGCCACAGTACAGAACATGAGAGCACACAGCGGGGGTCCTCACCAGCCCGTGGCAGTGGAAAGTGGTGTACACACTCCCAAAGAACAGCCAGCATGGCCACAAATACTCCAATCTGAATTCAAGGATGAAGTCTGCCAGCAGCACCAGCGTCCACATCACCATGAATTTCAGGAAGGTGTATGCACTGCAAAGACATGTGAAATCCATTAAAAACGCTCTAACATTCAACTACATACATACTAAAACATATTTAGAAATGAACAAATGACCGCTCTTCTCTCTGTTTAAGGAGCCTCATGCTTACGTCAAAGCGTCACATACAAACAAACACAAGACTGGAAATGAAAAACAGACCAGAAACTACAACTAAGCAGCTGCATCTTAACAATACAGTCTGTTTCTTTAAGTAGAGGCAACAAAGAACAACCACTGTCCCCCCATGATCATTTTTATTAGGCAGCCAAACACAAGCGGTGCTTTCTGTCCTTTGTTCTGCTCATCCAGACTGCCATCACATCACCCCTTCTTTGTTTGGTTGCCATGGCAGTATTTCATCTGGAGGAGAGAGCACCACAGCATCCTTCTGCTGCTCCACATACGTCTCTTTCTGAAGTGGCTTACATGTTTAAAAGTATCAGAAACATGCAGCGCTTTCACAAAAATAACTACACCATTTGATTTGTTAATTTAGATTGCTTTTATAAATGTTGCTCAGATTTTTTTTTTTTTTTATGCTCACAGATGCATGACGTGTATTCATGTTTTTAGATTGTGGAATGAGCTCTTGTTATTGTTAGGCAAATACTTAAAAATCAGATTTTCGTTGTTTACCTAAAAGATAAATGTATCAAAAATAAGAACTGGCATCATTTTTTAGGTAAGGTAATTTTATTTATATAGCACATTTTCAGCAACAAGGCAATTCAACGTGCTTTTAGTCAATCAAAAAAAAAAAACACAGACAGAGGTTTGGGAAATTAGCTTATATTTTTAAATCCTTAACATATTTAATGAAGTAAGTGCTTTTAAAATCGCAGTTTTCTCTGAAGGACATGCATCAACAGTCAAAACCTTTTATGTAAATTATGCATTAACTATTGAACAGAGCCTCCCGTTTGTACAAAGCTCAAACAGTATGACATTTACATATGTTTAAACAATATAAACATTATCATCTTAATGTATAACTGCGCAAACTATCTACTTCCTTTTTTACTTAGTTTTGCTTTTTCCCTTGAGTGTGCGAAAGTATCTCAAATTTGCACTTGTATGTTTTAAATAATACATTATATCCTTATGCTATACATGTTTTATTATATTTTTACATAAACCTAACAATATTTTTATTTTTCTACTATTACTTTGTATATTATTTTAATGTTTTCTACCAACATCCATGCTATATCACACAATAGGAGAAAAAAAAAGCTAAAGGAAACTACTTCAAAACAACTCCATGTTTTAAGATTTTTAACTGAACTCAAAATGATGTCAGGGGGGGAAAAAATCTTATTTATTTATTTTTCTGGAATCCTTATAAAGGCGTTTCAAATGTCAAATTTAGCCCAATACAGCTTAATCCTTTAGCAGGATTAAGCTAAAAATATTGACTTCACATTCATAAAAATATGGATAAATGAGGTAATGTGATAAATGTCAGGAGCCTGGAGGGAAAGCAGGCCGACATGAACTCTCACACAGCTGCCGCTTTCTGCCTTTCTGTCAACAATGTAGGCTGGAGTTAACAGTATTCCCCAGCGCCTGTTTTTAATTCAGCTGCAGAGGCTCCAGTTAATCCAGCAGCAGCAGACTGGCTCATTGAGAGGAAAAGATGCGACACACGGACAGGAGAAAGAAGATGCGAAGCAGACCAGGTGAGCAGGCGGGATGACGACGGCTGAAATGCACACAAAGACGGAGACGTGGCGCCACAACAAAAGCAGCAGCAGCAGCAGCAGCAGCAGCAGCTCTGCTCGGCTCGGCTACCTCTCAGACAGCTTCTCCGTGATTTTCAGTCTTCTCATCTTCCGGAGCCTGTTCGCGTCCACATAGCGTTTCTTCATCTTATGGCTTCTGCTCCCTCCGTGCTGATGTCTGACGCTGCGGCTACAACAGCAGCGGCGGCAGCAGCCAGGG